GCCATGCCCCTCTGACACCCGCAGCAACCCCAGGGTGACCACTGAGCCACCACAGGTAGTGCCCCAGGCCTCCAGAGCCAGGGCAGCAGGGAACCTCGGACCTCAGCCATGCCCTAACAACCACAGACAGCCCAGTGGTGACAACCGAGCTGCCGCAGGAAGTGCCCCAGACTCTCCCGAGCTGAGGGCGTCTGCCATGCCCTTCCAACATCTGCAGCCAGTCCAGCGACAAACACTAAGCTGCCGCAAAAAAGGACCTTCGGTTCCCAAGCTGGGACGGTGGGGGGCCAGGGCTTTTGCCACTCCCATCTCCCGACATCTGCACCCAGGCTGGCAATGACCAAGCCACTGCTGGAAGCCCTCCTGTCTCCCCTGTGGGAATGTGGGGGCTGCCACAGGCCTCAATCCCGCCCCTCCTCCTTCCTCCTTCTTCTATCCCATTTCCTTCCCCTTTGCCCTCTCCCACTTTCTCCCAACTGCTCTGCAACAACATCCTAGAATGTAAAAAATATTAATAAAATTACATTTTCTTTAAAAAAAAAAGATGAAAGTGCTCCAAGAGGCAGACATTTATAATGTCAACATATGATACACAGAAAGCAGAAACACTTGATTCTTATTTCAGACTGTCTTCTCAAAGAAAGGAAAATATTCTAGAAATTAAAAGGGTCGGATGAAAAAACATTAGATGGACTTAAAACCCAAACAGAAGTCTTACAGCTGGTTTAAATAATTCTATAAGTTTTCCAGTGCAGAACAGGAGAGAGTCTCTAAGACGTAATAGAGGCAAATACCCTAATTTTCAGAGATGATTTATAGAAACTAAAGGAGAATAAATTTAATGTAAAATTCTTATAGACTTTTATAAGATTATTGAAAGTTGATTTATGAACATTTTGATAGAAAAATAACCATAAAAGACAAAAGGTGTTCTCTAAGAATAAGCCACACCAAACTAATCTAATTTGTTATGTAGTTAGGTCTACAAGAATGTTAAATTGGCAGAGGGCTATACAGAGAATATGTTTTCATTTTATTGAGTCATTCAGCAGTTTTTTTTTACCCCAAATCCTTGTGGTAGATAGCAAAGGGTACCCCAAGATGATAGTACAATTAAAGAGGATTTGTAGCTACCTTAACTCTCTACTCAAATTAAGTGCCCACAAATGGAGTATTTTCAAAGAGGAATGCCAAAATGTCCTGTTTACTAATTTATCAATGATTGGATTATAAAATATACAAAACATACTGATCAAATTTGCAGATAGAACAAAATTGCAAAAATGGCTAATGTTACCTAAGAACTCCAGACCATCTTAAGCTAATGAGCTAAAATTAACAAAATGAAACTGAACAGGCAACATAAATCTTCGTATATTTATATTTGAAATGTCAATTCTCCAAGGACAAAATGTGAGTGAACCAGCTTTAGAACAGCTTCTGTTAAAATGACCTAGAGGTCATAGTTGACAATAAGTTTTGAACCAAGAACATGAACTTGCTGCAAAGTAGCAGGAAGAACTTTACATTAAAGCTGTTCAAAAATTCTATAGGCTCTTGTGTAAGGGAGTTAGCCCCACCCTCAGCCCCCCAGTTGAAAATCGAGACTGACTAAGGCTCCATGGACTGTCGGGTACAGGAGACTCATGTATGTCAGGGGCTTGGACTTGACAGCCTGTAAGGTTTTCTTCTATGCTTCTAAGAAGTCTCCACCATTTTCTCTTCGTTGAGTCTATTGTTCATTTTTAAATCTCAATTAACTCGTTTTATTTTTAGTCACTATTAGATTGTCTCGGACTTTTAATCTAAGAGTTGCATGTTATGGGCAGATCTTGAAGTTGATCACCCTTCAATTCTGAGTTTTAGATGCTGTATTTCTTCTATACAGAGCTGCTACTAATCCTTGAGTGGCTGGAGCCAAAACCAATTACAACCTGGAGGAGAAAATATCTACCCTTCCTGCAGGGCTTTGAAAGCAACCAAATATTGTGGTGGCATACGGAAAGAATGGTTGCAGTCTCCCATCTTCCCCCTTATGTCTGTTTGTAGGCTGCCCATTTCATGGGTGGCATGAGACAGAATGTAAAAACAAAGAGATACGTGAAATGTGTGCTTCAAAAGACTCAGTTATGTACCAAAACACACGATATTCAGGATTTCAATGTATACATCTAATCCCTAGGTTAAAGATATTGAATCCTGGTTATTGGAATCCTTCAGTGGCAATAAGAGATGACAGAACACGAAAGCTCCTCAACACTTGGTCTGTAAAACCTGTAAAACCCTACGTAGATATACGAACACAAGGATTCGTGTAACTAAGAAGTTTCTCTTCAATTTCCAGATGTTTTTCCTTTTTAGTTCTTATGGAGTATGATCCTAGAACTATTATGATGGATGTAAGTTAATAATTCCTTATAATACAGGTTTTTAAAAAAAAATATTGTATATTGTTCAATAGTCATGGCACTTGGAGCTCCAGAAAGACACCCTCCCTCTGCCCCACACCAAATGCACATGAAGTGATTTGTATCAGCAACCCTCAAATCCTAACTATCAGGGTACCGTGGGGCCACCAGATGTGGGGTGCTACATATAGCCCCAAATAGTGAGGTCAAATCATAGCCCAAAAGCACTGGGAAGGAAAAGAGGAATGGGTTTAACATTTATCATGTGCTTTCTGTATGTCAGATACTTTCCTATACAATTGCCATGTATCAAGTCGTTTAATCAGATAGTAGCTTGATCCCAGGGAAATAGCAGCTGTAAATAAAAATTTAAAAATAACTAAATTACTGCAGTCTCTCCACCCCACCTCCAAACCATTATAGAGCTGCCACTGAAGTAAATCAACACCACGGCCCTGGTTTCAGGATATTTTTAGTCTAGTTGCTTAACAGCCAGCACTTTCTCATGTGTATTTCTCTTCCCATCACTCAACTTGCAGTGGAATATTTCTTTAGCCCCTTCTTAAAATACCACTGTCTTCTCCAGATGATGTCATTCAGATCGTCTATGTCTGTTCTATTTTCCCTATTAGAAATGTCCATGCCATCCCGGTGGAACACTCCCATCTGCTACCACCGTAGCAATCCCCACCTTGGTTGTAGATCCACTTAACTGTCCCCTGGGTCAGATGAACCTCTGCCTCCCACGACGTGCAGACTTAAGAGTGGCCACCTGCCTTCCTGTGGCCACTGGTCTTTCCCCGTCCCCCTTATGGCCTTCCTGTGAGCCTCCGTTTTCTCCTGGCCTGTCTTGTTCACCTTCATTTAGTTCCCTGGAGTTTCGTTTTGATCCTGATGCTCTCACCCGCTCTCCCCCAAATTCCTTTTCATCTTCTCTCTGCCTCTTTCCCAAATACCCCCTTGTCCCTTGCATCCGCAAGCACTCAGCTGGCACTCACTCTTCCATCACCTTTGCATTTCTGTTTTATTAACTGCCCTATGACATGCAAGCCAAGCCAGCCTCTGGTTTCCTCTTGATTTCTCCCTCCACACACATCCTTTGGGGGATTTCTGCAGGTTTTCATTCTCTCATGAGCTTGCACGTGTCTTCCTAACTATTCATTCCATCCCATCTCTCTAATCCTGAGCACTGCTCTTCTTTGTGTTAGAATATTGATCTTTAGAACAATCTGACTTTTCCCCTTTCCTTATTCATGCTCCTGTCCAGTCAGCTCTCAGCTTCCTTTAGATTCTGTTTCCCGCTTGCATGGCCTCTGCAGATACCTCCCCACTTCTTTCATTCCCCTCTACCTGTTCTTTTTACCCTTGGGTCTCTTCCCCCAGCTCCAGACCTGTGCCTGACTTCTGTTAAAAAGTATTTCGGGAAGGATTTTACTCTAGGGCTCTTTTCTGCCTCCGTCTCCCAGTTGATGATTTGTTACTTCTCTTACAGCCTCTTCCCTCATCTGTCTGGCCCTCTCAGACGCGTCTCCAGGACATCCCCCCCGCTCCCCTTTTTATACAGATGGGCTGTTCACCCTCCTTCTCATGCTCTCTTTAGCCCTTTCTACAATAAAGCAGGATCTCAAGTAGGGAACAAATAGGGTCTAATGGATGTTTCCTCATTCGTTGCCTAATTTGTCATTTGCCTAATCTGGCTCACTGCCAGAGAATGGAAGGAAGCTATGCAAGTTCCACGTGGGTGCCACGCCGCTCTGTGCAAAGAACAGGGGGGAGAAGCTCAGGGGCGTATCCTCACTGGGGTCCCCTCCTTCCCGAGCTCCTGACCGATCGTTCAGATGCCAAGGAGACATTCTCGATCTTTGCTAAACTCTCTTTTCCTCCTCTTCCCACAACTCCACCCACCACCACAGCTCCATAGATTAGCACCCAACTTCAAAGGGTAACTGTAAATCAGTGGAGGTAAGACTGCAGTTCATGGCTAAGAGGTAAGTAAGAAACAGCTAGTGATCATTTTAGGTGAACTCTTAAGGTGCCTGGCAAAATGACTTTGGCATCTCTGCAAGCTGGGTGGAGGAGACAGAAAAGATCCTGGATCCTTTATCCCGGCCCAGTGAGGTCTCTGCTCAGAGACTGGGGATGTGGTAGCATCACTGTTGTGCAGGAGAGAACTGTCTACTAACTATCTGCTTCTGGGCACTCCCCTCAAAATAAAGAGCATTTGGGAAATAAATCATAGTTTATAACTCTAGAGACTTGACCTCAAATATCCTCAGGTGTACTTGTGATCCTATCCCTGCAGGGCCCAAATTCCAAAGAGAGGCCCAAAATCAGACTTGCTCAGGTTCAGTCCTAGGGTTGTGAATAGACATGACTTAATGGCAGGACTGAAGGAAAAGCCCAAGATGCACAACGTTTTCTTTAGTGGGAGAGATGGGCCAGTGGCTAGGGAAGATGCAGGCTCCATGCGATCACACGCAGAGAAGACCTCACCTGAGGATTACGTCAACAAATGGTCCGCTGAGTGGAAGGAAACAAAGGAAACAGAGCTCTGAATTAGCACAAGTGAGGAAATGCAAGCCCAGAGAAGAACCCAAAGGTTTACTACGTTACTGCTTTCTGCGGACACTCTGGCTCATTTGCCTAGCAAGGAAAGGAAACAGCATAAACTGACAGAACATCCAAAAGTAAGACGGGCCAGCCTCTCTTTTCAGGACTCCACATACAGGCGTGGGGAAAAGGGCCATTCCACTGAGAAGCCTCTCCCCACTCTGCGGACCCCCAGCTAGGGGCCGTGGCTGTCCTTGTCTTCCTCTCTGACCTCCTCCAGGGCTGAGGGCTGCTTCAGGGAAGTGCCAGGCTGCTCCTCTTGTGCCTTGAGGAATAAAGGCCCCGTTCCTGGTCTGGCCCCTTCAGGCGGCCGGGCGAGGCCTGGTGAAGCCTGCCTGCTCATAGTCTGAGCACAGGGAGCTGGAAATAGATCGGGGAAGCAGCCATCTCCTCCCGGGGGGTGCCCCAGAGCTTGTGGGAAGAACAGACCAGGGAAGGGCAGTTCCGGCAAGTAGGGGTCACTCCAGGGGACTGTACCTGTGGGGTCAAAGAGTATAGAAATTATTGCACAGGACTAAGTATCAGTCATCTTTCAATGTGTCTGTAACTGCATCCCCTTTCCTCCTCCATTGAAATACAGCTTAGGACCCCAGCACGAGTCTGTGTGAAACACTAGCACCAGGCTCTCCCCTCAGGGCCAGACATGCTCTTGGACTGGAGGTCCTCTGACACAAAGGGGACCATGGGTCAGGACAAGTGCTGTCTCACGCACGCAGCAAGGAGACCGGGAACCACCTGGACACCTCTTTCCTCTCCTGCTAGAATTTAGTCTTGGTAAGATGGATGCTTCCAGGACTTCAGAGGTCCAAGTGGCCCAGCAGAGTACTAGTATCAGCTGCCATCTACTCAGTGCCATGTATTTTCAGTAAGATTATTTCTAATCCTCACCGAATCCCTATATGGTATGGAACTATTATTCCCATTTCAGAGTCCAGGAAACTGAGACTCAGGAGAGCTAGTAACTGGCTGAGCTGGGTCCTAATGCCAAACTCCAGAGCTCTTGGGCCGATTCTCACTTATCTGAAGCCTCCGTGTAACTTAAGAAGAGCTTAATAAAGAGAAGTAGGGGCTAGCAAAAGGCCCTGCCTCTGTCTCCTCTCCAGATAACGTGGCTCTCTGTCCCTTCTCACCTGCCTCTATCACAAGGGGACCCTGCCTTCCAGCCCCAACTCACCCATATTCCCAGCAGGCGTCTGCAGCAGGAGCTGCCCTGAGGATGGGCCTGGGCAATAGCCCTGCGACGTGCCCCCGCTGGGGCTGCAGGGAAAGGAGAAAAGCGTGTCTTCCGGTGGAGGGAGTGTCAGCGAGCTGGGCGTGGGGAAGGGCGAGGGGTGGGGGTAAGAAAACTGGGTCTGCGGGGCCTGGGGGAATTGCAGTGGCCCCAGCTGGCTGCTTTGTTGGTAATCCTGAGGTTCCAGCTCTTCCAGATATGAGCAGGTGGGTTGGGGGGTGATGCTGTGGGGGACAGAGGAGTACTTAGTGAGGTGCTGGGCTGCTCCCCCATTCCCACCACACACAGGTGAGGCCCTTCCTCTCCGCACCTCTCCCCACCTCCAAGGCGCCGCCATACTTGCATCTCTGCACCTCTCCCCACCCCCAACGCGCCCCCAGACTTGCATCTCCGCACCTCTCCCCACCCCCAACGCGCCCCCAGACTTGCGAGACCACTGCTGCCGCCACCACCTCCTGCTCACTTCTCACCCATCTCTGCTCTGTCACTGCAGCATCTTAGACTGTCCCACCCAAATCCACTTTCTTTAACCCCCATCACGTATACCATGCCTTGCTCCTCTCGGTTAAGCCTTTTCCCTCCCAGGGTCTATCTATGGTCTCTCCCTCTATAGCCCTCTCAAGGTAACTCAAGTGACCCCTCTCCTGAAGTTCCTTACCTTGTCCCCCAGGACCCACAGAGGCCATTCTTGTGGCTGCTGTCACTGCCGGGAGCATCCATCACCAGAGGCATCAGTTGGGGGGTGTGGATAGGGCCGAGGGGAAAAGGAAGGTTGGCCCTTCGAACAGGTGGGGGGCTGAAGAGTGGAGGGGTTCCTGCCACCCTCTGAGCCCCTTCACTCTGTTGGGTTGGGGCCAGAGTCTGGTCAGATGTCAGCAGCATGGGAGGCTCTAGGGACAGAAGACAAAGAGGGGCTATAAGGGTAAGAAAAAGGGGAGGCAGGTCCGGGATTGCTGAGTGTTAGGACAAGCGGCACCCAGGTCCCCCTGTGGGCCCCGCTGGAGAGCTCTGGCCCGCTCCCACCTCTATCAAGCAAGGACCCCCCATCTTCACTAGCTGCCATTTCCTCCCAGCTAACCCTCTGAAGGTGGGAGCTCACCTGGAAAGGTATCTGGAGGGGGCTCCTGAGGAAAAGTATCAGGCTCGGGGTCCATGAGCACAGGGGGTGGGAGCTCAGCCGTAGAGCTGAAGAGAGAGTGAAGAATGGAGCTCTGCGGGTCTCTGGGTTTACACGGGAGCCTCGTGCAGGAAAAGGGACACCAGATTCTCAAACTCTGCCTCCTATAGGAACTTTCCAACTCTGCCCCAACCAAAATTCTTCTAAATATTAGCCAACAACCCTAGGACTCATGCCCAGCCTTCCAACACTCTCTCCTTCTGCACCCCAGGATCCCAGCTTGGACCCCACTTTGTATGTGCAAGGATGATCCAGGAAGAGGGGAAATTCTTACCTGCACTGACTTCCGGCAGGGACAGAGGCAGGAGCAGGGGCAGGAGCTTCCAGATTGTCCTTGATTTCTTTCCCATTCAGCTTCTCCATTTTTCGCCACTTTGCCCGGCGATTCTGGAACCACACCTATAGAAGAAAGGCACTTGAACTTGCGAAAGGGGGTAGAGACTAAGGCGGAGGTCCTGACTGTCACGCGATGAGCTACATGACTTTAGGAGGTCGCTTCGCTGCTGTGCTTCAGTCGCCCCTCCGCCAGGCTGCTCTTCTAAGGTCTCTGCAGCGCCTTCCTCTCCCTGCAGTCTGAGGCCGGAGCACTGTGGAATCAGACGGGAGCACGGCCACACCCGAGACCTGACTTCCGCTCCTACGCAGGTCCCATCGCTAGGTTCTCCACCCCCAGTGACTGGTCAGCCAGCCCCTTTACCATGATGCGTTGCGGGGTGACCCCCACCATCTGGGCGATCTCCCGGCGCTTATCGCTGTCAGGATAGTGATCCTCTTGGAAGATCTTCTCCAGCTCCTCCAGCTGGTCTGGAAGAAGAAACTCACATGAGGAGGATGAACACGCGTGATGTGGCAGGAAAGGACACAGAGAGATGCCCACCAGGTGTCTCCAGCAGACGGAACCACTGTCCCCAACCTGCAGGCCTTCCCAGAGCCTTACAACTAAGCTCCCTGATGGGCCGGGCCTTCCCTCTCTCAGGTGTTGTGGCAGAGATCTGTGTGGCCTTTTACTTTCCTCATCCATCGACCCTGGACCCAACCTCACTTTCTGAGGGTCAGAGGTGGTGGCACTGTCACAGCCAAGAGAAAACCCATGACCAAGTGACATATGAACTAATCACACCATTCTGGTCTCCAGGGGCAACATTCTTTGCACAGCCCCACCTTTCCCAGGATGACACCTGGTCTCTTCAGTTCCCCCTCACCTTTAGGGACTTACCTGAGCGGTATAGTGTTCGAGTCTTTTTCCGAACTTGGCAGGTCATTTCTGGGGGCCTCTTTTTCTGGTCTGTGTTTTGGCTGTTCTGGTTCAACGTACTCAGGAGGTTGGCCAGGTGGCAGGGCCCCCGGCCTGACCCACAAGGCACTGGGTTGTGTGTGGCACGGACTGAGTTAGAGACACCAGGAGATGACGTGGGGGGCAGGCCCACAGCATTAGGCTTTTTCTGCTTACCGGGGGCTGGGGAATAGGGCCTTTTGCCTGCCTTCGCCTCTCTCACTGGGAGGGAACAACCTTCCCCCTGGGGCTGGGGTCTGGGTGGGGCTAGAGCTCTGTCTTTGTGCAGAGCCTTGGCGCTGGGGGGCTGGCCCACTCTCCCAGCAGTGGTCCCAGTGAGTTCTCCAGAGACCTCTGGCAGCTTCTTTTCTCCTGAGACAGCACCAGAGAGTGGCAGGTCCTCACTCGGGGCACGCAGAGTGTGGGGGGCTGACCCCTGCAGCAGCTCCTCCTCTGATCCAGCAGCCAGGGGCTTGCCTCCACCGTCCTGGCCTGTGGGGAGGCAGCACCCACTGACCTTAGCACCAGGTAGAAGGAAGAGCCCGGGCTAAGAGGACATGCTGCTTCCTGCTCTGCAACCGATTTGTTGTTGGATCTTATGCCTTCATTTGCCCACCTACCAAACGTGGTAATAATTTCAGACTTACCTCCCTAACTTGACTATGGGGAGGATCAAATTAAAAATTTAAACAAATATATGCAACTCTAAGGGGACCATAGCTCACAGAAGGAGAGCAATACGAATTTGGGGGGACTCACTCCCTGTGACTTCTCTGTTTCTTTTTTCCCAGACACAAGGGGTATGAGTTTGAGGGACAGGCATCTGTTCAGGTGTTCTAAGGGACAAATGTTGGGGGAGAGGGTAGAAGAGAAGAGAGAGAAACAGATGATTGAGATTCTGCTTTTCCTGTGCCTGGACCCTGTTCCTGCTGCAGGCACAGACATCACTGCTCAGAAAAGGGACAAGACAAGATGATGGTCTCCAGAAGCCCAGGCGAGAACACCAACAGAGACAACAGGAACAGCCATCTCCACCTTCTGCAGAGCTCACTCTGTCTCTGCCAACCTGTCTTGCCCCCAAGGGTGCCCCACCTCCCCGTCCCTGCAAAGTGAAAAACTTCACTCCAAGGCCTCCCCTCTTTTTGCAGGCAAGGAAAGAGTGACCCAACTAGAACTAAAATGCGATCACTCATCCTTAAAGCGGCTCTTCCTTTCTTTGAGCAGACTGATTCATCAGGAACTAAGCACCTTCCAAAGATGAGTACGGTGTGCACTTCATCCCTGAGAGGAAGGCACTATTAATATCTCTTAACAAATAAAGAAATGAGGGTGAGAAAATCGAGTAATTTGCCCAAGATCACACAGCACAGTGAGCACATATTCCATTCTCCTAATCGCTATGCAGAGTTCTCAGGGTTCCGACACACTGCCCCCAGCTTCACCTCCCAACTTCCAACCACAGAACCCTCATTTCCGGAAGCCACTTTATCTTTTCCAAGTAAGTTGGAGTATCTGTAAATAAATGCTAACTAGTGACTAAGAGCTATTGCTATTTTAATGAAAAATGCAAGAGAGAGAAAGTCATTCCTTAAGACATTTTAACAACGTGTTAGAGGAAGATAGAAGGTCACGAGCTGAGGTGCTTTATGAAGTTGTTTGCTAGGGTATGTTAGACTGGACTTGCATGGGGTCGGGGACTGGTCTCAAGCTGGGACGAGGGCGAGCAGGCCTCTACGGGGGGCTCAATAAACGCAGGTCTTTTGCAGTCATATGCCTTGGGAAGAAAGGTGACGATTGTGCAGAACCCGGACTACCAGGGGCCCTGGGACTCCCAGGACTCCCGGCCAGCGTTTTCCTCCCCATGGGGAGATGGTAACCCCAAAGAGGAGCACCAGGCGAGGTCGGCCTCCCGCCCACCCCACCCCGCTCCAGCCCCTCGGCCTTCCCAAGCTCTTAGGTCACCTATGGCTGGCGAGGTGGCCCGAGGCAGCCCCCTCTCTGCGAACCCCCCAAACCCCACCCAAGGGTCTGGCCAGAGCGCGCTCACCCGGCAGTTCCTTGCCGGGGTCCTCCGTGGGTTCCATTCTCGACTCCCGCCGCCGAGGCCGGCCGGGGCGGCACAGGCGCGGCCTAATGAAGCCTCGCGGGGCGGCCAGGTGTGCGGAGCCGCACGGGCCGGGCCGGGCCGGGGAG